CTGCAAAACATTCTCAAATGGATTAAGGGACAACTGGTGCCATCATATTTTTCAAATTTTTGCATTTTGAATTCATGGGGAATAATCAAGTCTGGACCCAAGCTGAGTTCTCTTGCTTCTAATTCTTTGTGGGAGGCATCAACACTTTTCATATTTCTGATTGTTTCATCCATCTTCTTGAATCTTTCCTCATACTGTGAATAATTAATGAGGCTATTCTTTGGGTTCAATTGGGATGCCCCAGAGTATGTTATCTTTCTCGACTCTTCAATATGATAGCATGGTTGCTCTTTATCAATTATCTCTTCTTTATTAGATGTCAAACACTGAATAATTTGATTTGATCCATCTGGTACTGAATCTGATGTTTCTTTCCTTATATCCTGATATAACCCTGTCAATTGTTCTGGCCACTGATCTTGTAGTCCCTCATAAGATTGCTCCATTGTTTTCATGATGATGGTAAAGTAAAATGAATGAATGACCTTGGTTTTACTGTTACAAAACCTTTCATTAATTACTTACATGTTTTTATATTTAATGTATATAACAATACTTTAAATAAAAAAAATGTAATGTAAATGCGAAAATGCATAAATGCCAAAAATAAAAATGCAAAATGTGCAATTCAAAGATATAAAAAGTAAGAATACAAAATGAAAATGCACAGATACAAAATGTAAATGCATGTATGAAAAGGTATTACTCAAGAGTGATCATCTTAGAACAGATTTCATTGAACACAAAAGCTTCGGTACATCAAACAAAACTTTTACATGTAGGGGATAGCTTTCACTCCTAACTTCTCTATTTCCCTTAAAAGCCAAACTAACTTCCACTCATGCTCAGGTGTGGAGTTCTCAATCTGCTTTAATTCTCTCGTGAAACTAGCTAAGTCCACCAGCTTATGAACCACATTGTTTGCTTGAGCAGCGGCTTCCTTCATGATATTGTCTTTGTCCTTCATCTTTTGCATTAACTCTCGAAGTTGTAAACAATATTGTTCATTTTTTCTTGTGAGAGAATCTTTATGTTCAAGAAGTTCTCTTACAAGATCTTCATAATCATCTACACATTTCTTCAATGTTTTGTTCTTGGCCATAGTGGCTTTTAATTCAATATCTATCTCAAGCTGATGAATCTGATATGATGCTTCCATGTTGGTCATAGCACTATTTAACCTTTGATTTTCGACTTGACATCTTTTCAATTAACTAACAGACGTATTGCATCTTTCTTCTGCAACTCGTGAATTATGATAAAACTTCTTGGCTCGTCCTTCATGTATGTTACAGTTCTTCTTCAGTTTGGTGACCCCTGTTATCCACTCTTCTGGGGTGTTCCCTATACCAGCATTTTGAAAGGCTTGACTGACCTTCTGGAAATCTTCCTGTATACTTTCCATTTCGGTGCTCAATTTATCGTTTTGATCATTCAAATGATGTATTTGAGCCTCGAACCTCAGCAAATCTTCTTCTTTCTAGGCGCCCCTATTGATACTCTTACCTTGAAGACTTTTGGTATTAATCTAGCAGGATCTTTGGTTACCAAACTAGGTCGATCATTTACCATAAACTACAAGATTCCCTGATCCAAAAGACTTTGGACTCGACGTTTGAAGGCAAGACAATTTTCAATGGTATGTCCTTGAGCTCCGGCATGATATTTACAATAAACGTTGAAGTTATACCAATTCGGATACGGAGGTTGGAACGGTTTTATGTAATATGGAGCTACTTCTCGTGCTTCAAGTAACTTTTCATACAACTCTTTATATGATATAGGTATAGCATCAACATGAGAACCACCTTTTATCTTGGATTGAACCTGAGTTTTAGACGTTGGGAGTAGACTAAACTTTGATGATTTCAGGTTACATGATTTCTTCTCTTCTCTGGGAGCTTTTACAATTGTCATCATTTCTTTGGTATCTCCAGATGACTTGTGAATACGAATGATGATTGTCTGTAACTTCTCCAATTGATTAGGATCAAAAGTCCCTTGCATATATGAAATTGCAAGATTATGTTTATTGATCTCTATATCTTTTTATGCATGAATCTCTTTTCCTTTGGTCAAAACAGATATTCTTTCTATCATCTTGGACATCTGCTCTCTTATTTCTCGTATCTCCTCTTTCTCCTTAATGGACACATGATCTTTAGGTGCATAGCTCTCCTCTATCTTTGGAGTTTCCTCAGGATGCCATTCCATGATTACGCCATATTTTGTTCGATCATAAAACTTTTTGTCCATTTATGATTTCTTTCCAATTTAATGAACAGTCTTTCAAGTCAGCACCTTTTGGTTATGCTATGATCATGCAATGCAAACGAAAGAAATCAATATAAACAAGTTAGAGCAAAACAAAATGTATGAAAAATAAATTGGTTAGTACCAAGAAAGATTATATCTATCAAGGTATATAATATATCCTAACCTCATGCTTTTTAGTTCCATGCTTTGTTTTAAAAACAATAACCTAACTGCATGATTACTAGTTCGCATGCATTTATTCATAGAGAAAAATAATAAATTAAAAGCTAAAGCTTATTTCTCCTTTGTGTACACTTACGACAGAGGTTCAGTACTGTCTTAGATCAGGAGAATTTCTAGGGTTCATTATATGCAGTGTTTTGGTTCTAGGAGTAAAGGTACTCAAATTGTCCTTGTTGATGCCCCCTTGGGCTGTCAAACCCTCAATCCTAGTCCATTATAGACTTAAGCGGATCGAGTTCAATTCGAGGGGACACATTTCTCTATGCCTGACACGGAGAATAAATTCTCATGAAGACATAGAGCATATGAACCCCGAAAGCTACTTGCTAGGTCTGACACAGAGAATAAATTCTCACGAAGACCTCGCTTTCACTCCCACTTAAAAGGGACAAGCTTGATTATAGAGCTTTATGTTATGCAATGCAAGTGTTGTGTGTGAGGAGAAATGTTCAAACCTCTAACAGAAAAATAAATAATGAAATAAAATGCTTGCAAATAAAATGAAATAATATATATAAATACTATGAAAATAATAAGTATATATAAAAAAATTGAAAAGAAAGAATTATAAATTAAATATATGAATTTTTAATTTATAATTAATAGAGACAATTTATAATTGATTTTAAAAGCTTGAAAAAGTCCCCAGCGGAGTCGCCAAGCTGTCGTAACCAGTTTTCGTCCGGGCACGAATTTTTTACTTGGCGGGAAAAATGATGTGAATAAAAGGGTTTTTTTTAAAATAATTTGGGAGTCGCCATCGGCCTTTTGGGTCAGGTAGGTCGAATACCTAAAGATTATCTTTTAAAAGAGTTTTTAAGAAAACATCAGTTAAAAGATAAACTGATCTGCGTTTTAAAAAAAATTTGTTCTTTTTAATAATAAAAAGGGATTCGTGGTCGGTTACGTTTAGGGAAGATTAACACCCCTACAACGCCCAAAATTAGTACTTTTTAATTATAAATTGTCTCTATTATTAGAAATTTAAAAATTCAAAATATATTTAATTTATAATATTATTATTTCAAAATTATAATTATGAAAAAAAATATTAACTTATATATATTTATAAATAAAATATTTATTTATTTAGAAATATCAGAAAATGACTTCTAGGTGCCTTAAGACAACTCTTTTCTTCGATATTATAAATAAATAAATAATTAAAACAATTAATATAATTTATAAAATAGGATATTTATTTATTTAAAAATATTAGAAAATGACTTCCAGGTGTTTTAAGACAGCTCTTTTCTTAGATATTAAAAAATAAATACATATCAAAATATGTTTATTTTTCTTAAAAGTAATTTATAAAATTAAATTTATAAATAGGATTTTTATTTAATAAACAAATAGAATAAATAAATAAATATTATATATATATTTATATAACTTAATAATAATAATAAAATAATCATGAAGATAATAATTTAAACATATATCAAAAGTAATAATAAACTAAAATAATAATAATTAAAATGAAAGAAATTAAAAGTAATAATATTAAAAACTATAGGATCATATTCATAAATATATTAACTTAAAATGTAAAAATAATAAACCTTATGGTTAAAATCAAGATTATATAAAATTTAATGATCAAATTATAAAATATAAATAATTAAGAGACATGGTTAGAATTATCATAAAATATAAATACTAGTAGTGTAATTAGCCATTAATTATTTAATCGGTTATTAAAATAGAAATATTAAAATTATTAGGGACTAAATGCATTATTTATCCTAAATATATAAATACACATATCAGTGACTAATTTATAATAAACTAAAATTCAAAGATATAATTAAAACGTATAAAAATTAAGTTTAATGATCAAAATGAAAGTTTACAAAACTTAGAGGTTAGCGGGCATGGTTTACCTACGTGAGAAATTACGCAGGGGTCCCTCCCCAAAACAGCGTCGTTTGGGGAGGGATTTATATACCCTAAATCGGCTGAGAAAGGCTCCAAGCCTCTCATTCTCTCTTTTCTTCTTCTCTCTCTTCTGGAGAGAGATATATCATCTCTCTCGTTTCTCTCCGGCTTCCCTCGCCTGAGGGAAATTCAGAGATGTTGACCACCGTGCTCCGGTGGTAACCACCGCCGCCGGCTACTATATACGGTGGTCAGATTTTACATAAAGACCCCAAAATAAAGCCCAGAACCTCCCAAGGCCGAATATGGCCTTGGTTTGCCCTAAAAAACTCTTGATCGAAGCATATCTAGAGAAATACCTTCGGGTATTTCGAATGTTTCATCGGCACGTAGCGTCTCCGGTTACCGCATGGTTTCCTCGGTAAGTTCTTTCTCTTTCTTTCTTTCTGTTTTGTTTGCTGCTGAGGGTTGTTGTTATTTTTTTTCTATTTTCTGTTGTCTGTTCGGTATCTCTTCGTTGCTCTCTCTGGTCTATTGGTTGTTGTCTCCTCTTTCTGTTTGTTCGTCGTTGTTGTGGTCTCTTGTTCTCCGTTGCTCTCTGTCTCCTTTCTTTTTTGCAGGTGAGCCGAGACTTTATAGCTTCGATGAAGCTCTTGTCGGACCGGTCCCAGAGGGGTTTCTCGGTGAGTCACCATAGCTATGGTGGTGACTCACCATAGATCTCGACGTGGGCGGATGTTATCATGGAAGCAAAACTTCTGGAGTCTTCTGTTGGTGGCGTCGTGGCAGCGGCGGAGCAACGTGGAGGTGATGGCAGCAACAGCGGCGGCCGCTTGGTCCCTAGGGTATCATAACCCTAGGGTTTCTTGTTGGAGAGCTTTGGACCGTTGGATCTGGCCAGATCCAACGGTGGATGACATTGGCGGCTAGATGATGATATGTAAACCCTAACTAAGTTTAGGGTTACACATTTGGGCTCTATAGGGCTAGTTGGGTCGTCTGGATTGGATCCAGACCTAGGCCTCCATGTTTGGGCTCTTGTAACTGATATTTTTGGGCTTGTAACAATATTTGTATTTATTTAATAATAATAATAATAAATAATAAAAATAATAATGTATATTAATAATAACAATAATAATAATAATAATTTTAAAAATAATAATTTAAGTAAAATAAAAAAATTAGTGTTTACAGCTGCCCCTCCTGTTTCAAACTTCCCCCAAGTTATTGAAGTTCTATATTTTTTTTGCGTTTTGTACCGGACATTTTTGTGAAATTTATTTTGGCTTACTTTATTAACAGTGTTCTCTGGTGGCCATCTGGAAGACATGATAAGTTGATCAGCATTGATGATGAAAATCTTTTCTTATGGACTTTAGATTGCTCAAAAAAGGCTGCCCAGATTAGGTTCTGCATTGATTTTCTCCTTATCATCAATGGTCATTGTACTAGCATCTAGGTTTTATTTTACATTTGTGATAGTGAATAAACACTGGAATACCTTCTTCAAAGACACAACTGACATAAATTTGTAATCGGTTGCATTGTTTACTCACTCTCTGTTTCTTTTTCGTTTTTTCCTTTCTTTTTTTTTATTTTCTGTATCTGAATATATTCGATATATTCAGTGTCTGATATTAAATTTTGTGGCAATTCGAAACTTTGCATTTATCTAACCTGGCAGAAACATTGACTACATATTAGTGTAGTTATCGTAAACAAAAAAATCCAAATGCATATCTATGTTACATGGACTCAACACTTTAGGGAGCCATACCCATGTTGACACAACATGGGTGCTGACACAATTTGTGTCAGACTCGTTGCTGTGTAGTTCAACACAGCAGCCAACCTCACAGAGGTGGTTCTTGGTGGCGAGGGATGTTTTGAGGTTTAAAAGCTGTGAGGAGGATGAGCAAGTGGTAAAATGAAAATAGGATACGGAGAAAATATGAGTGGACTTTGGTGAAAATACAGCATTAGTTAAATCGATGATGATGTGTCTGGCCCTTAGATTCAGTGTCGGATGTCTGAACCTGAGTCCATATAACATTGATTGCTTATATAGTAGTTGATGCTTATTCCGATCTTATTGTGGAAATCTAGGCGCAATCTAAGCAATCATCTGGTATGCTTCATTACTTATCTGGTGGTGCATGGGATCAACATGACATAAATGCTGTTGCGACAACTTGTGAATCATCAGTCCAGTTTTGGGATCTACGTACAATGAAGTATGTTGTCCCTGTGTATCTTTGTTTCCTGATTAGGTCTGAACTGTTTAATTATTATGATGTTGTTGGTCATTTAATTTGGTGTTCTATGTCCCTTTTGATTTTACTTATTTTTCTAAATGCATGGGCCAAAATTCAAATAGATGCTATTTCATCACCTGCCTTCCTCTAACCGTAGAAAAGAGGACACGGGAGGAATAATGTTGTAGCCTGTTCCTTTAACTATTTAGTTTCTTTGCAGATCAGTTTTCTTAGAATGTTTACCTGGATATAGTTTGTTGATTGCACTTAAGAGTTATGAGGTGTCTGATAACAATTTTATATAATCACAGGAAGACAAATGCAATTGAGTGTGCCCATATCCGCAATGCTAACTATGATATGAAGAACAATCATATACTTGTAAGGATTTAGCTTGAATAATTTATTATTTAAAATCATATTTTACTGATCATTTGCATTATTGCTTTTGTATTAGCCTTTTGGTTGTTTCTATTCCAGCTTTGGTTTTTAGAATGCCTTTTGAGGGGTATGAGTTGGCATGTTAAATCGTTTTTTCTATCAAACAGAACTTTCTTATTTCTATAACTATGTGAAGCCAAGATCTTACACCTGTTATGCCTAGATAATATGTGTTCACCGATATTATAAATTACGATTGTCAATGTGATGTGGTGAGGATGAGAAACTGTGAGTATTTTTTTTTTTAACTTTTTGAAAATGAAATTGGGAGGATTTACTGGTCTATTAAACTCTTCTTTCATTTTGGTCAAAGCTGTGGCCAAACACGTAATGCCTGTCGAAAATCTGCTCTGCACACATGTACACTAACAAATCTTGTTTAATCATACACAACTTGAAGAGTCTGAAGTTGTATCTCAATTTTAAGCACATAGATAAACCATCAGTGCAAATGTTCATCACAATTTCTCAAAGGAAGTTTATCTATTTTGGACCACTCTTTATAATTTTTTCACTGGTATGTAGGATTTGATGGGATGAGTTGATCCTTTGTATTTTGTCAATCATAAGAGACTCTCACTTGTAAATAAGAGTTGCTGAAATCAGTAAAAGAATGGTCAACAATATAGAAATGTTGATTGCGATGTGATTTGTGAATGAACTTATTTAAGTCAGATGGTATTTCTACTGTTTAATACTTCTAAGTTATTATTGTCACTTTTATTACAGGTCACTGCAGAAGATGAATCTGGGATACACATATGGGATATTAGAAAGCCCAAAAGTCCTGTCAAAGATCTTCCTGGACATACGCACTTGTACTCTTATGGGTCTTTTCTAATTTTTAGTAACTTCACTCTTTCTGTTTTCGCACTTAATTGATTTATAATAAATCTCCAACATTTGAGTTTATGTTGAGTTGGTCCTGTGCCACTAGAAAGAAATGGGGATATTTAAGTTCATTGATTGTGACATGTTTAATAATGTTTGCAGGACATGGGCTGTCACTTGTAACCCTGAGTATGATGGTCTCTCTCTCTCTCTCTCTCTCTCTCTCTCACCGAACGTTCATTTTAACTAGATTGTCTCCTAGGTCTAAGCATTAGGCTCTCGGTTGGACTAAATTGATTATGAATATTCATCTGAATCAACTAGGCTTAGAAATATCCTTAGATCTAAGACACGATAAAATAAATTGCAAATTGTTGTTTGTTGGTATATTTCGAAAATTCTTTCTCGACAAGAATTTCACATCTGCAGAGTGCTGGCACCGACTCAACTGTTAACTTGTGGATGGCTCCTACATCCGCCGAAGATGAGGCAACCTCTGAAAGGTTGTTTTGTTATCCCTTCTCTGGAGATTTATACAACTTTGTGCTTAATTGGTTGATCTTCACTGATATTTTTTCGTTTTAATTCTGTTTTGGTAACAGCATAGCTGAATCACCCACTCAGCAGGCTGACCCGCTGCTTAATTCTTACAGTGATTATGAAGATAGTGTTTATGGTAACCAGTCCTAACTCCTACCTCTGCTCTATACCATGCTTTTAAAAAATGATAATATAATAAATGCAAAAACCATATATGTTCTCAGGCCTAACTTGGAGTAGTCGCGAACCTTGGATATTTGCTTCTCTATCCTATGATGGCAGGGTAAGAACTATATGCAACTCAGGAAGGTAGAATAAACATATAACCATCCATTAGTGTAAGACTAACAGTTGGGTTGTTTCATTTAATCCAGGTGGTGGTAGAATCAGTTAAGCCATTCCTTTCAAGAAAATGAAGGTGTTATTTGTTGTCCCAATGGGCTATTCTTTTGGAGAGCTTGTTTCCAAACAGTGGTCAAAGTGATGAAATATTTGCCGACTTATTACAGGTTGACATTAAGAGGGGTTGGCTCGCAAGTTGAGTGTTTCATGAGTTATTGCTGGCCAACCAGTGTATTCTTTTCTGGTCATGAACATTGGAATTTTTTCATTTTTCTTTTCAGCTACTCCTACATGTTTCATTTTATGAATGTTTCTTCTGGAATTGTACACCAGAACAAGATGAGCTACATAGCTACTGCAGTTGGAAACCCAGAAATTGAAAACGAAATGCAATTTATTTAAAAACAGAGTGCCGCTTACAAGTTACGGCCACTTAAAGCAAGTAGCACAAGGACATAAACAGTTAAACACAGACACATAGTATTACATGAATCAGCCGACTGGTACAAGAGGAAAGTAAAACCTCAATCCACAGACGTATTTCCACCATCTTGTGTCTTGCCAAGATTCTCACGGATCTTTCCTCCTTCTTGGCTCCCACTCTGGACCTTCTGGCCCATATTCGCTGCCGTGTCCGGCGTCAGCCACTTCATCTGCAGCTTTTGAGACACAAAGCCCCTCCTTCCACGAAGAAAATTCGCAATCCAGGACAAGGATGAAAGTCCGGTGATCCCAAAAGCTCCGGATGTCAAGAACCCGGCTACTGAACCGGCAATGAGAAGAGCAGCAGGGACCAAAACAGGGCTGAAAATCAGGAAAATTGGCGCCGCGATAGCAAGGGCTGTGAGGGATCCAATAAAGCTCAAACCAGATAGAAAGAGAAGGGTGGCACCGATAGGGAGGAGGGTGACAATTGTAAGAACTTTTGAAGTGGAGGGACCATTTTCATGGAAGCGATTCTTCATGTTATCTGTTCGGTGGAGTTGCCGATGCTCAGCCATGGCTTTAGAGGTTGGTTTTGTTTGTTTTTTATTGGTTGTCACCGAGATCGAAGAGTTAGGGGATGAGTTGATGAGTAGTGAATTTGAGGGAACGAAGGGGGTGACGCGTGGAGTTGGGTGACAGTTGTTTGATAGACTGTAATGTGGTCTGCATGAATGTTTTTTTTTTTTTTTGTGTGTTCTGCCATTCCATTCTCATCTGGTTTTATATTTTTCAATCCGAAAATATACTGTCCAATCTTCTCTTGATCAAGTATTAATTGTTTGATTACCAGTGTCTGACTGCCCAACTATTTACGTAATAGTAAGACTCGTTATAATTATACATAAATATTAATTGTTACTTTCATTTATATATTGTATTGATCAAGGATTGTAGTCATATCATGTGAATTTATTATTTTATAATTATAATTGTATATATATATTGGGATAAATCAAGAATTTCAATAAATAGAATGTAGTCAAACTACAATAGATAACCAGAAGGCAGCCTCAATTAAAAAAGCCCCACTCAACACATAGCCTGTTATTCACATTATCACCATTATCTATACAAGTATTATTTAGCTTGATACGAACTATATTCTTCATATGCTCAATTATGACATCACCTGAATGAATATCACTCTTAAACTGTCTAAAGTTACATTCTTCTCATATGCTCTACAAAAAACTAGTCCAAACAAACTTCAAAATACGAACAATAAGCAACCTACCTCTTAAATGCTTAGTTGCCCAAAACACAATCTACTTCAACTTATGTATCTCAGTTAAAAGCTGCAGGTCCTCGTGATCCCCTGCCAAACATTACAAGAATGACACTCGGCAAATAAGTGATCTTCTGAATCATTCTCTTCCCCACACAAACCACAAATTTCATTCGAAACAATTCCAACTCATTTAGAAAAAATCACTTAAAAATAATTGTATATATTACATTAAGTAATATACAATTGTATATTTAGAAAGTTGTTTCATTTACTTTTTATATATTACATTTATTTTGAAAATAATCACTTGTATATAAATACAACATTAAGTAATATATTTATTTTTTTAGAAAAATCGATATATGTCAGTAATCAATAAACCCTAAGGTAAGAGTCCAATTGCTACTTGCTACCCATTTGTAACATGGCATATGTCCATCCTAACCAAAGAACTTGGGCGGTTGGGCCTGGTTTTGTTAACACTACTTTTGCATGTTGAATGATGCTTTTGTTGGGGTGTTTATTTTGTTTGCAATCAATTGATGCATGACTTTGGATTTCCGGGTGCGACGTATAAATGATTTGATTTTTTTTGTCCTCCCGGTTCCAATATACATAATTTTATATTAAAAAGAATAAAATAAAAAATATTTATATCATATAAAAATTTTAGAATTTTAGAGGGCTGATTTCTCCTCCAGCCTCTCCTTGATCTGCATCTTAAAAAGAATGGTTCTGTCGATGGAGGAAAAAAAGTAAATTATACATCAAGTCATTCAATTATTAGGAAAGTTAAAAGTGAGTCATTAATTTTAAAAATTATAAACAAGTCACTTAATTATTCTAGTGTTACAAGCATATCATTTTATTGTTAAAAATGAAACGAATATTATTTTTTAATTACAATCAGATCACTCAACTGTACCCAAAACATTAAATATGTTATATACTTAGCGAAAAATGGTATATTTGTAACAATCAATCAATTGAGTGATTCGTTTATAATTTTTTTAAATTCAATTGCCCATTTATAATTTTACTAATAATTGAGGGACATGAGATGTAATGCCAACGAAAAGAGGAATCAACACTTTGTGCTCTCTTATGATTAACCAATACTAGTTTAGTTAATTATGTATCAAGTCCTTACCCTCATATATAAAGTCACTCCTCCAAACAGCATTCTCAATCATAATTAATACTCAACGGCATGTACATATACATAATTTTATACTAGGAGAATAAATTTATGAAATTTCGAAAGATTAAATTTATAAAATTTGAGAATACGGAAAAATATTATCAATATATAAAGTAAAATTATATAAATATTTGAAGGTTTTAATAGAATTAATCAGGCAGAAGAACAATTCTTTAAACCCTCATAATCTCGTTTGTATTTAGTTATAATATGTATGAGACCATCATCATTACATTTTTCAGCTTTTTAATATACCAAATAATTTATGTGCAAACTAAAGAATAAAGAAATGTACAAAAACCAAAGTTACCCATATACGTATCTTTTGTATGCGCCGTGTCTCAAATTCCTCGTGCTTTGACTTAATTATTTTTTTAATTAAGTTTAATTTTTTTAAAACTATAGTAAAACTTTTAACATTCTCAAGCCTTCTTTTTAATTAAGAAACTCTAATGCAGGTGAGGTTCAAACAAAAGATGCCATGCGAGCAACATGATTAATATTAGGGTAAATAATACAAATGGTCCCCCAACTATAAGATATTATTTTGAGTCTCCCAACTATTAAAAGTTACAAAATAATCACTCGTTTATAGGGAGTTGCTTTTTTGAGTCTCCCGACTATTAAAAGTTACAAAATAATCACTCCTTTATAGGGAGTTGCTTTTGTTGAATCTCTCGACTATTAAAGTTACAAAATAGTCACCTAACTATTTATTATGTTTCAAACTCGTCATTTTCTATTACAAAATTGATGGTAGTTTGAGTTTGATGTTAACCTGCTGACTGAAATATGATAAAATTTGATCTCATAATCTCAAACGACTATCATATCTCAGTCAGCATGTTAACATCCAACTTAGATGACTGTTAATTTTTTAACGGAAAATAATGAGTTTGGAACGTAACGAATAAGCGAGTGATCATTTTATAACTTTTAATAGTTGAAGGATTCAATAAAATAGTATCCTATAGTCGAAGGATCATTTATATACTTTACCCTTCATATTAATAAGGGTTGACCCCCGACAGATTTTTTAAAATCTTCCATTTTTTTATGTTAGATTCAAAGTTTAAATTTACATTTTTTTTAAAAGAACATAGTTTTACTTTTCGAGAGGGAAATGAATTATTTCAGAACCATAATTAAATATTAGAAAGAATTAGATTATTTAATTTTTAAAAAATTTTAAGAAATAAAAATTAATTAATTTAGTATTTAATTTACAGAATTTTAAGTATCATTAAATTAAAAATTAAGACCCCGCTCATACTTTAATTCGGCCACTGAATTATTTAGTTTAACTCGAAAATTTGTGTAGACAAAAACTAATATAATATTAATTAAAATTAAAATAATGTATAAATTAATGGGTTATGAAGTAATTAATGAAGCATATATTTTTAATTAATTCCATCGTTGAGTTAATTATAAACTAAAAGAATTCAGAAAGTGATCTCTTACAAACGGCGGCCAATATCTCTTTATTCTCGATGATTTGTTGAAAATGGATTTATTGGAAGCTTGTGCGTTGTCTTTTACATTCCATCAAAGATTTATCAGTGATACAATAATAAACACTTGTAAATATGAGATTTATAAACAAAGGGTAAATACACAAATAGTCCCCGACTATATCGTACTATTTTGTTGACTCCATCTAATATTAAAAAATATAAAATAATCCTCCAACTATAGATATTGTTTTGTTGAGTCCTCGACTATTAAAAATTACAAAATGACCACTTGAATATTCATTATGTTCTAAACTAATAATTTTTCGTTAAAAAATTAACGATCTTCTGAGCTGGACGTTAACATGCTAACCGAGATATGATAGTCGTTTGAGATTATGATTTCATATTTTATCATATCTTAATCAACATGTTAAAGTTCATCTTAAAACAACACAATTTTTTTAATGAAATAGGACGAGTTTAGAACATAATAAATAGTTAAGTGATCGTTTTGTAACTTTTAATAGTCGAGGGACTCAAGAAAGTAACACCTGTAGTCCAGGAACTATTTTATAACTTTTAATAATCAGTGATTCAATAAAACAATATGTTATAATCAATGGACCATTTGTGTACTTTACCCATAAATAAATCATCGCTGAATAAAATAAATATTATTAAAGAGTTTATAAATAAATATTTTCAATTTGGTTTAAAAAGTGATTATAATTACAATTTTATAATCTAGCTAACAAATAATCTAAAATTCAAGGATCCCTAAGATCCTAAAGAAGAACGAAACAACTGGCCATCTTTTGTCACAGCAGCGATGCCGCTGGAGACATTGGTTACTGTTGTTAAACTACTGAAGGAGCGAGGAATTATATATTCTTATTATCACGTATATTACAAGTGATTTAACCGTGATAAATCTACTGATAATGAATAATTACCCTGTATGAAATTGTGTAATTTTTTTAATAATGTGTCATTGGAGTAATCTCTAACAATTTAGAAACCTGGAAGACAAATTCAGCAGGTGATTGAAGAGCGAAAACCCATGTTCCGAAATCCAAAATGTGTTCAGTAACCTGGAAAAAACATACAATCTCCATGGGGCAGTGCAATGCAGGAAGGGAAAGAAGAGCAAAACCCAGATTCCCAAATCCCAACAAATGCTCAGTGTCTTGGAAAATCAAGAACATCCAACCTAAAAGATACAAATGATGAGACCCTCCCCGTCCGGAAACAACATCTGTAAGAGTTCCTTCTGTGGATTAGGGGGGGGGGGCATACGCTGTTGGCTTCATCAATTGGTCCCGCACACCCTGTATTTCTTTGTCCTTTCCCAATTTTTAAATCCACTGTCATCTTTCACCTGCTCTTTGCTTCTTTTTTTTTAACGTTTTGCAGAGAGATTGATGGGGTAAGGTTTTTGATGGATTCTCGATTCAGTAATCACTTTTTCATTCTTCAGCTCAGCCGCAGATAAGCTTTACTCCCAATAAACTTCAACTTCAGAAGAGAAAAAAGAAGAAAAAAAAGCCATACTGATCTCAGTACCTTCTGAAACACAACAGTACCACCACAGGTCCAACTATCGCACTCATTTCTCCAATTAGTCATCTTATTATTACTTACTATTTCTTCGTAAATCATAATAGTATAACATGGTGATGCTTAAAATGAGGCCAAAAGACTAAAAATAGTGGAGGCGATGAATTGGAGGACAAAGGACGTGAACTGCCAGACCCCATATGAGTGAATGATAGAGATCCAAAAACACATGAGAGGAGGACACTCTTAAGTTTTTCTGCATTAGTATAGTATCTTATCATCTTCATGTGTCTGTAGATATACAGATGCATTATAGTAGTAATAAAATATGTTCTTAAAAGTTTTAAGAGGAGAGAGGGAGAGAGAGAGAGAGATGACAAAAAGTGGGAGTAACAGAGATAATGATTGTGATGATCGATCAATCGTCGTGTTTTTAATGAATCCAAGCGTGTGGCTGTGAATGAAATGAATTAGACAGCCGAAGAAATTAAGGAAATTTTCCAAAGTCAAGACACTTTAAACCTTAATTAATTCTGTCTAAATGTTGAAAACAACAACTTAGTTAATCCTGAGAAAAAAAGTGGAGACCCCTACCTTTCCGTTTTTAAGAGCATGGCTTATATAATTTTGATAACGACATATGCTTTCGATTTCCTGTTGCTGACCTCTCAAAAACCTAGAATCTTATGGTGCATGTATTGTTGTTCTGTAAAAACTAAAAACCCTAAGCTTCCTACGTTTCTGGTTTTCTTCCCTGTGGCTTTAGAGATCTGTTTCCATACAAATATATACAGGAAGAAAACAAAATTATGAGAGAGAGAGTGTTGAGGGCTTTTGTCTATGAGAACATACTGTTTTAGTGTAGTAAATGTTGGGGGAATCCTAGTTCTTAATAGTGAAATAATGGCTGGTGAAAGAAAAGCTGAAAGAAATCCTTCTCCGTGCAAACAAGAAGAAAAATAATGCTTTTTCATATGGAATCCAATGACGACAGTAACTGTGACTCACTCACTGTTTGAAACACCTGTCGCCATGGAAATGGGAGGTGTGGAGCTATAGCTGCTGGGTCTCACCAGCTAGGAAAGAACTAGTGGAACTCACAGCGCCCCTTTCCCTTCCTTTTTTACTACAAACCTAGCTAGTTGAAGTTTAATTAGGTTTTAATAAGATTAATCAAAAAGCAGAAAAAAAAAGCTGCGTCACCAACTGCTCTATATACGTAGGTATATGTCATTTTAATATTAAGAAAAGTACATGCTATTGCAGGAAAGTCAGCCGGCATATGTTAAAAACATGTATCAATGAATTAGATGATGTTATATGATAAAACATGTACAGATTCATGTACATACACTGCATCAAACTCGAATCCATGTACAGGAGAAAATAATGGTTAGTTTCTTCTTCCAACTTGGGGTTGAATTATGGACATTTGAGACCTGCGGCGATGAATGAGTACTTAGTGAATAAAATCCGGAGAGAAAGTAAACCCGGTGGTCCTCAAGAACAAAGTAGAAAGGTAAGAGAATCCTCTTTAAAGTTGGACCTTAACACTTAAAACTATTTCATTTCATTTATTCTTTAAGCATAACAATGACAGAAAGGGAAGAGCAGCTCCACATGCATCCATGCCTAGAGCTACTTCTGCACAAATGACGCAACCAAAGGCTTAACTGCCATATATATAAATATATATATATATGGCTTATATTACCCTTATTTAGGTTCAAATTACCACACCACATAAATATATATAGTACAATGCAGATTGCAGACTTTAAAACCCCCGGTATTAGCAGGACAACAATAGAGTCTCACTGCTCCCACCATGACCAAGACAAACAATGAACACTAGAGAAGCTAAGCGACGTCTCTAGCTCGGACATAGGAAAGTCCTGAAGATAGAGGCTAGCCATAGATCAAACCTTCACTTAAAAATGTAAAAGAAACACTCCATATGTCTCGATATAGGAAACCCTAAATGGAGCATAATACGCTCTGGAATTGTCTTGGCTGTTTACATACCGCCTTCTCCTCCTCCATCGTTGATATCAACTGAAGAGGCATCGTTCCAAGGGAAAGAATAAGGAAGAGCACTGGGGACCTGATAGAATCCTCCTCCTTCATTGCCAATATTCCTTCTGTTAAACTCGGGTAGCCTGGTACGGGGAGTGAGGGGTTGAAATGAGCTTGTCCCCGGTGCTTGAGGCAAGGCTGTGGGGATGTCGTTGCAGGCGAAGCGGATCAAGTCGGCATTAGCTGTGTCAAGTTCTTTCTGTAGCCTTTGGACTTGTCTCTGCAGGAATGTGATGGCTCCAACGCAACCGTAAACTGGATCTCTTACTCTCGCCTCAGCTTCATAGGCGAGGGAGTTCACCGCGTCCTCTCTTTGGTGAGGGAGGAGCTCGTTGAGGAGCTTGGTCACGTTGCTCGCTCCAAAGATCTTGTGAACATTCACAAATTTTTGGGGCTCCTCCGGTGGAAAGTAAGGTGCAAAGATGCATCCCGGCAAGCATTTCCTCCTCAATAATTTGCAGGCAGCACAGGGTGAATTGTAAGAGCTGGAAGAAGCCATTTTCACTGCTGTGTATAGATCAACAAGAACCAGTTTTCGTCAGCACATATTTTTTTAGTTCTTTAATAGTAGCATTCTGAAAAGGTTTTGACTTTTGAGACACTATATTATCATTTACACTTATGTATTTTTTTCATGATATTTTCAGTTTTTTCCTTTCTTTTTCGTAATGAACTTGGGGTTGGGGTTCACTCTTCAAGAATCTGTCTATAGTTACTATGGTTTTCCTGAACGTATCTTGTGTATGATTCAGTATCGCTACAATCTAACCAGCTGATTTACCAAAGGAAATTAGTCCAAAACTTTTGAAATTTAAAAGAAAAGAAAATCATAAGGCCGCCTTTCTGACACTCTCAGAGACAAACAACAGGAGAACCTTTTGAAAATACATGCAAAGCAACTACACATAAGCTCTTAACTCTTTGAACATTAATTATCACTGATTTATTTTACGCAGACATAGCTGCCTTCCTTTTCTGTTCCTTCTTTGCTAAGTTCTTGTACGTTTAGAGGGAAAAAAGAAGGTTCAATTCAAGAACTGGACCTTCATGATCAACACAAGGATCTGTGCCTTCCACCATTAATTTTGGTTCCTAAGTTTGTCTTTTCTTTTACATATAATATCCATAATTAACTTGTAGTACTGCAAATTTGGTTGCATGAGTAGCTGTAAAGCCATAGGATCCTTTCCAGCAATCCAATGAAGGATGGGATCTGATCTGAGAAGTGCAAAAATTAACGAAGACAAGATTAAACCTTTCATAGGTATATTTAAGGTATATTTGAACATAAGCAAAGCCCTAAAACTAGAGCCTTTAGCTATTAGCTATTTCGCTTAGCTTGCCTTGCCAACAAAACAAAAACAAAAACAAAAATGAAGAAAGCAGCAGCAAGACATATATAAATGTACACTAAACTTGGATCTGTGGTTTATGATCAGAGGAATAAAAAAGGGAGTACCTTTTCCCCTTAAATGAATGAGCTGTGTGTGTTTGAGGAGGATGTTGGTTTGCTCTCCTACCAAGACAAGGGCAGCCTTGGGCAGTGGAAAACTGCTGATAAATAAACCTAAACAACCCCAGAAGATTTTATTGCTGCTGCCAAAGAGGGATGGGGGAAACCCTAATTGGATAAAGAGAAGGTGAAAAGCAAGATGATCAGTGAGAAAATGGAAGGGGAAGGCAGAGAGCATTTAATGGATGGGGATGGAATGGAGCAAAAAGACAAAGGTGATGAAAATGGGAAGGGTACACTAAGGAATGACCATGACCTTGCATCTAATAATAATATCAGGGGATGTGGGGATGTCTCTTATTTCTCTCTTTTTCCCCCTCTCTTTTCTCATGCATCAGTTCATACTTGACATATATTCCCTAATGCAAAATAACAATTATTATGGAGAATTCTACGCATTAACATTTGGGAAAGGAAAAACAGTGATAAATATATGTACCATTGCTTCTACATGCATACTTAGGAATGAGGCCGATTCTCAATCCGCCTATTGTTGTTTTCATTCTCATCTTTAGTTGCCAAGCACTTTTCATAAATTTTGGTGTTGGTTGTCGTTGCTAATATTTTTTAAAATTTTTATCTCACATCTTTATTTTTCTTTTGTTTCTAATAACTTTGTCTTTATAGTAAATTTTTTCTGTATTTAAGACACATTTTTTTTATGACATGATTTTTTTATCTTTATGACTCTTTTTCTCTGTTTTTTTACACATTTTCTATTTTTTTTTCGGTCATTTGATTTTCTTGTATTTTACTTTTCTCATGGTTGGATTTGGGATCATCGCGACTGATCAAGATATCGTTCATTTGTTATCCTATTGATCTTCCATGTTTTGGACACTCAAACTGATTTGAATACGTAGTCTGCATTCGTAAATAGTTTTCTCATGATGTTTAGTATAATTTGCATCTGTTAGTGGTCTTTAGTAGTTTAATCTCATATTGTGATTCGTTTACCGTGATAATTAGATTTGTTTGTATATAACTTTTATTCGAATTTTTTGGATGATTTTTTCACATTTTCCTTATATGGTATTTATATATTCTTAGGTTTCTAATTTCTTGTATCAATGATTATATAAGAATATCCTAACTATATATTTATTTATATTCTAGTTGTAAACATTCATTATAATTATAAATATTTTTCTTATAAAATTAATTACTTCTATTTTTAAAAATAAAGAATGAGGCGGATTCTCAAAATATGGGAAACAATCACCACTCGGATCATAATGATACTGCTGCCTTAATTTTTTATTATAATTATACTTATTTCGCTCTTCCCTTAAAGATCAACAATTCTAAACACAATTTGTTATCAATATTAAATAATTGAACTCTCGTGACTATAAGAAACTAGAAGATTTCAAAATAATAATAATAATAAACATTTAATAAATATTATTATAATATTTAAATTTAATAAGTTACTTAAGATACAATCCAGATAAATACTTGTTCAGCAGTGCACTGCTTGAGATCAGATGCACTTTCTATTCAAATTAGAGTTGCAGACAGAGCTTCACTTTCTATTAAAATTTGTTGTAAGTGATTAATTTAGTTGATCTTTAGCTGTTGCGTTACGTTTTATAAACAAAAAGCTGCTGAATTGATTAATAGTTCTAAGCAAATCAGATTATTTCACAACATCACAAAAACACTTTGCATTTTTTACTAATAACTCAGTTTTGAATGTTTCTCTGAAATATCTGCAATGACAGCAAGCAACTGTTGTTTAATCTTGCTTCGTCATTTGTTTTCATTGGCAAGTCTTGATGAATGCTTATGCATTCCACTGTTATTAGAGTCGCTGTTCTTCATCAGTATGCTCTTCTCTAAATGGTCAATTACTTCGTTTATGTGAACTGACAGATTATACCGTTCATAAAAGGAATGTTGATGTAAACAAAAAACATGGTTAATTTCGACTATATATTAAAAGTTCAGTCTACTCTGTAACTTTTTCTTAGCTAGGTTTGATATTAAATTCCCAGTAGATTCATCTTTTTCATTAGAGATAATAAAAGACCACCCTACCCCGAAACCTACCACCAAGTGCCCCAGACTAAGCATGTTAAGCAACGCCTATCCTACATTTCATTTGTAAATTATATAAACCAGTGTTCGGCTAAGCATTCCATATGTCCTTTCGTCTTTTTGTTCCATGACTTTCCTCATGTCCTATCAAGCCAATTCACATGATAAGCACACAGCACAACAAATTTTGGAATACGTAAGCTCACCGGTGAAACAATCCTAACGGGAGGTCGGAGGTCCCATAAAATGATATTTTCAATCCAATACCAACGCATATATATATATATATATTTTTTGAATTATGGAGGACTCGCGTTTTAACAGTTGTGTCTATAAGGTATGTATTGTCAATAGACTAAGAAAACTCCGAATATGTATTACTTTATACTCATCTCAAACAATTCAAAAAAAGAAAACAAAAAACATAAAAAGAAAAATGAGATGTAATTTTATGGGTTAGTTTTTTTCCTCATGTCTATTGTAAACAGATGAAGTGACTGGGATTTGATGTTCACTGGTTTGTCCAATATATCTGCAACAGTCTCCATTATAAGCTGTGGAGATAACAACACGCTGGTGGCATATTTATAATGGCAATGGGAATACCAAAGATTAATGTTCCCTCTAGACAGTGTTAATTTATATTGAAAGCTAGTCTAGGCCTAGACTTTTGCAAAAAATATTCCTTTTCTTGGTGCGTAATTATCAAAGCATGCATACTCGCTAATTTTCATCATCTAACTTTCACGAGTCTGCAAACATTGGTTCCTCTTTATTTCCGCGAGTTAAGAAAAAGCAAGTTAATTATTATCATTTTACTGTTCACATCTCTCTGTTTATGCTTCATTAACGATCAAATACCACGTTGGACTTTTTTTTTTTTTTTTTTGTGATCAAGAAAGCAATAATGGGGTACGAGAAGCTTATTATACAACTACAGATCCAACATTTGGCCTCTTTTTATGTGAACAAAACCTGACAGACAGTGCTTGTCCACAATTTGATGAGGCATATCTGATATGTTTCTTGTTAGATTGACAAAACAGTGCAAAGTGCTACTTGTAGTCAACTCTTCTTGTCTAATGCTTTTCCTTGTAGGCCTCTCCTTCATCAAGTAATAGTATTAGCAACGCCAACAGTAGACACCTATTTTTATCCGAGTCTTTTTTTTTATATTAATTATTATTAATAGTATTAATATTATGTTTATTAATTATTATTATTAATACAATGATACATTATTTTTGCAGACCTTAACCCATCAGGCCTGGCAAAACAACTCTCACCCAGAGCCCCAATCACTCAAGCCCAACTGGAGACCCAGCTCAGCAAACCCGACAATCCCCAAACCCGAACTAGCCCAGTAACCCCAGATCCAACCCGAGACCCAAACTAGCCCAAACTAACAACCTAGATAATTAGAGTTTCAAAACCCTAAAGCAGTAGCCGCCTTCCATGTTCTAGCTAGCTTCCCCAGCCGGCGCGTGGACATCACCGCTCTATTCCCGAGTCGTGTGAGCCGGTCGTCGAGCCACCACTGAATGTTTCCCGCCCAACATTATCACCTACAGTGATTGAAAGTACACCCATAAGTCATTCCACAATGAAAAATAGAGAAAATGCATAAAAATCCAAGAAATCCCAATGTAATATGTTATTGTCAAGTAAAAATATAGAGCAATCAAACCCTATATTATCGGGACCACAAAACCTCATAGAAACCACACATGCATCAAAGATAAAAAAAAAAGACAGAGGCATTCATTCGGATTTCCAGGAAAAAAGAGAGAAAATACAGAGTATTCGAAAATCAGAGAAAAAATCGAAAACCAACATCAAAAAGAAAGAAAATATTAAAAGAGAGAAGCCCTTTTACCTGAGTTTGGCCGTGGAAGCCCGATGGTTGCTGTGTTTTTTCCTTTTTTCGAAAGGTATACTTTAGATCTAGAGATATATGGAGGTTTTTAGGTCAAGAGGGGTCAGGTTTCGAGTTATGGGTTGAGAGAGGAGTCTTTTGGGAGGATTTTCTATCTCCGACCACCGTAGGCTCTGTCGTGGCTACCGCCGACGGAGGGCGACATTTTCTTCCCCGACGAGGGGAATTTCAGAGAGTTTTTAGAGACTCTCTCTCTGTTTTGAAGCAATGGGAAAAATGGGGAAATAAGAGTCTAAGCTTGGGTTTGAGGCTTAAATATCCCAAGCAAAACGATGTAGCTTCGTCGTCCATATGCATGTGTTTTCCATTAAGGGTAAATAGCACCCTAGGTCCATCTCCTTTGTAATATGCCTATTTCGGTCATGAAATGAATTTTTTTATGTTCGATCATATATATTTTGCATATGTTATATTTTAGTCACTTTTATACATAATATTAGTTATCTTGGTTTATTTTCATGTTCGGTCCTCATTAAAGATTAATGCTTCTGATTTAGCCATATGATTTTATGCATGTCTCATGTTGGTCACTGTTATGTATTTTAGATTTAATCTTAATTTTTTGCCTTATTTTGTTCGGGCCACTGATGTTTTAATATTTTGTTTTAGTCCTGATATATTATTATTGTTAATGTTTGACTATGGTAATGACATTTGTAAATATTTTATTTTAGTCACTATTGATATTTGGTTTAATTATTGTTAGGCCCTTTATGTTACTATTTATTTTATTTTGGTCATTTAAGTTTATATATTTGCTATTTAGACCCTTAAGTTTATGTTTTTACTAGTTTAGTCCTTTAAACTTCTATTTTGGCTGTTTTAGCCCTCTGAGTTTCTGTTTTGGCTATTTTAGTTTTTTAAATTCCTGTTTGTACTATTTTGGTCCTTTAAGTTACTGTTATTTTCATTTTGGTCATTTTAATTTTAAAAATTTACTTTCTGACCATTATATTTTGGGTTGCAATATTCGTTTGTATTTATTTCAATCTGTATGTATATATTTGTATGTTATGTATTAATTTGTATCATATGTAATTAAATATGTTTATCTTTATTTATTGTAAATATTTTTATTTTGTATGTTTCCAATCATCATTGTTTTAATATTATAAAAATGAGAAATTTAATTGTGAGGGAA